TCTTTACTTCCTGGTAGTACAGTATGTTAAGTTTCCTGAAATCCAGTAGCAGAATTTCATGCCTAAAGACTTTGATTTTCAGTATTTTGGAGGTATTTCAAGATTTCTAGGGCTAACTACGTAGCAAAGCATCTTCTATTTTCTCAGAAAATTGTTTCAAAAACCAGAAAGCAACGTGTATTTCAGCAATATCATGTTCTCTTCTGCCTTCCCCAAACAAATAGATCACTAACCATTTTTGGAATATGTGTGTTCAAGACTGCTGTGCTTCACCACCACCCAAGTGTTCTCTCTAGTTCTATTATTTTCAGGCATATTCCTGGACTGCAGCATTGTTGTCTGGCATTGCCCTTGAGTTGTGCGACTCTGCAGTCTTGTCACCTCTGGTCCTACTGAGCCTTCACTGCTGCAGATGCTCTCATACAAGAGAAGTTCCCAAACAGTGGTACATAAAGCACATTATAGTGGTATAAAGCAGCATTTTGCATAAGTTTCCCATTTCACTAAACGTTGATAGTGTTCTGCACAGATTTAGAAACTGTTTCTAGCACAAGTGTATAGACATAAGCAACTGATAGTTGGTGCATTGCAATCTGCCAGAAGCAAAGCCAGTGAAGAGAGCAGAGGTATGCTCTGTTTAAGGAGGACTGAAGAGCTACAGTATGTATGGGTCGGTAGAACAATTAGTACTTGCAACAATACGATCCTGAAACAAAGTAAAAATTGCACTCATCCAAGCAATAAACTATTACTTTCTAAAGTCAACTATAGTGGTAGTAAAAACAAGACAGAAAATTTAGCACACACCGGTAAAAAAGAAAAACCCAACACAAAAAAACCCCACAAAACAAACCCCAAAACAACCCCAAAGAACCTGCACACCACATTCTTGCTGCTTCTTCAACCCCTCAAAACAGAAACCTGTAATACTATAGAGATGGGGGGGTGGGAGGAAGAAGAGAAAGTCCTATTGATAGCTAGGGAGGATGCTTCAAGCTTTAAGAAGCAAGTTCTAATACTTAAAATAACTCCAGCTGTTAAGCAACACAAAAATACAAAAAACAATAACTTAATTACTTATTTTGTAACATAGGGTATAGGAAAGACAGTAGAACAGTCTCATATAATTTCCTTTTATAAAATTCCAATGAAATATTCATTACTTCAACCTTTTTTCTACAGAATTCTAAAAAAGAGCCTGTCCCTTGTAGAAGACTACTCAGAACTGGTGCAACCACAGCTGAGTACTGTGTCCAGTTCTGGACTCCTTGGTACAAGGAGACACAGCGAAATACTGAACAGAGTCCAACAACGTCCAGTGAATCATCCACAAATATGATCAAGGGACAGGAGCATGTCACTTACGAGAAAGAGCTGAGAAAGCTGGGGCTGTTTAGGCTGGAGAAGAGAATGATCAGGGAGGATCTCATCAATGTATATAAATATCTGAAGGGAGGGTGCAAAGAAGATGGAGCCAAGCTCCTTTTTTAAGGTGCCCAGTGGCAGGACCAGAGGCAGTGGGCACAAACTGAATGAAGGAGGTTCCCTCTGAACATCAGGAAACACTTTTTTACTTTTTTATGAGGGTGATTGAGCAATACCACAGGTTGCTCAGGGAAGTTACAGAGTCTCCATCCTTGGAGGCATTCAAAAGCCATCTGGACACAGTCCTAGCAACTGGCACCAGGTGGACTTGCTTGAGGTAGAAGCTTGGACAAGGTGACCTCCAGAGGACCCTTCTAACCCCAACCCTTCTGTGATTCTCTGAAAAATTAATCATACTGAAGAACAGCCAAGACAATGTCTCTTGGTAGCATCATTACAATATATTACAAGCAACATATCATATGAAATTGATACAAAGTTTGTAGAAATCTCATTACCAAAAGGGAGACAGGTACAACAGTTTAAGGGAATAATGTTATAAAACAACTTGACATTTTTCTTTCTTCGCAAACATGGAAACGAGATGATTTGGGAAAACTATCAATAAATACAGGATACTGAACAGAACATAATATTCTTCAGACAGTGCACAATGTGCTCTCATGGAAGCTCAGAGCAGAACTAAACCACACACCAAAACTGATTTCACCCAGAACCAGAAAAAGACAAACATGACTTTCTAAAGGGAAAATATATTTCTAAAATAAAAAAGGAAGCACTTTTTCCTCCAGTCTCATAGTCCCAGTGCTAGAAGAGAGATTTACAAACCCTCAAGACAAGTCTGAGAATTTAAATTCACAGACTCAGGAAAAATAATTGTTTATGTCTCAGTTTCCCCCACTACTAGCTAAACCAGCCATGGTCTGAAAGTGACAAGTGATTATTTGTCCTAATAACCTCTATCTCCTACCCCTTCTGATCCACAGGTGCAAACATAGTCAACTTCAAGCAATTACTTGCAGATGAACTATAACTTGAAAATTGTTATTTCTATTTCAAATCTTAAGAAGGGTTCTTCCTCTTGAAAGTTTTCCTAGATTTTAGACCTATACTACTCAGTCTAGGTTAAAGGTATTAGCTTTCACAGCAAGAACATATGCCGCTTATCTTCATGCCATATGGCTACAACTGTGCTACAATACGAAGTATTCTCAGAGGAATTCAAAGCATAGATTTTTTTTTTTTCCTTTCATCCCTGCTATTTGATCAATGCTTATCATACTGTTTGCTAACCTTATTCTTGGTGAAATTTAAGACTAATAAATTATGAGACTTTTAAACTTTTCTGGAGTTCTCCAAAAAGCTCTGTTATTTTTAATTTCTACTGCAGATACAGAAAACAGTTAAAACTCCAAATCCATTAAAATTGTCCAGGCTCCTAAAGAAAGCAAACAGGGTTTTGCTGTTTGTGGTAGGTTGGTTTTTTTCCAATCCAGCCATTCAATAGCCTGTTAGTACAGTTATTTTTCTTGAAGTAGTTGACTTTGTCATAATAGAGTTCTATTCTATAGGTGTTAACAATACGAAATTAGTGTACTTGTATCTGAGACCTAACAAGGAACATGCCTTCAATTGTATTACTCTGCATCTTAGTTTGAAGTTTAGTGCTGAATAAAACAGCCATGTTTTACTCTAAAAATATAAACATCAAAATGGACATCCAGTTGAAGAAATTTAACTTTAGAGGCAGCACATGCAAATGCCAAAATCCACGTTTTAATCCACATATGCAAGACAAGGTTTATACATACTGCTAATTTGTCTTATTAGATCAACTAGTATAATCAGAAAAAAAAATAATTAGGTTTTGAGCACTTGATCTTTCTTCAGATTCGAAGTGAAAGCAGTATATTTCAAAATTAAGTGAGTTGAAAATAATACCTTTAATTTTCTTAGATCATCTCTGAAAGAAAAGATACTTTTAGAGAAGAGGAAAGTTTGCTGGAGGAGGAAAAAAAAAGGAGAAAATGGAATAAACTAGTTACCTCTGGGGGAAAGAAAGAACTTACCCTAAGCTGTTAGGACAAAAGTAGCAATGAACCATAACAGTGTCATCTTTACCATCGCTGTAATTTTTGGCATCCAACAGAATAACACATTGTAGTTCCCAGAGTTGGCTTTGGAAAATGTTTGCAGTTCTCCCTTGAGAATCACAACAAACATGACAAATACTGATTGTCTCCACGGGTAGTTTTGCGTTATTTTCCTTTATCTGTTCTCCAAGAGTTCATTTTGATGCACAACAATTTTCTACTTCTACCTGCACGGGTATTGTGAGGACGCTGGGATCCTGGCTGGAATGCATTACATTCTGTGAAGTACAAGTACAGAAACTTCGGATTCTAATATTTCTGCTGTAATGTTTATTACAGTGGGGATGAACTGACAAGTTTCATATGTAATGTTTAGACAAGAAATAGCCCCATTCTGCACATTTTAGGCTACAAAACTTTTTCTGGTGATGAATTCAATTAGGTTAAAGAATTGTTCTGTAAATGTTTCTTCCAAAATATAAGCTTCTTGCACTACAAAGGGGTAACTTTTCAAATAATACATTGCAACTAGGAGTGCACAAACTGAAGCGGGTTTTCTGTTGGCTTGGGGTTTTGGTTTTGGTGTAGTTTTGTTGTTCATGGTGTGTTTGTGGGTTTTTTTTGAACTGAAGATTTGTACTATGTGTTTAATTTACTCTGCAACACGGGTAAGTCTTTCAACAATGATAATTTGTTTTCATCAATAATTAATCTTATTGACTTAAAAAGATACCTTTAGATTATCAAAGTGACTATTGCAACTGTTCTCATTAGATGAGACACGTGCAAAAGCCTGACTGTATGTTGCAACATTTTTTAGTATGTTTCAGGATTGCTAATGCCCAGCCTTCCAGCTGTGACAAGCCACAGCGCTTCTTACGGAGGCACTTAGGGTTACATCTCTTACCCATCATTTGACAGACACTCGTACACATGCAGAGAAGGCCATATATTTCCTACCAGTACTGGGTGCACACTCACAACTTATATGTATAGGTCTTCATCTGATGAGTCTCAGCAAAAACATCAGCCAAGAGTGGACTGCTGCAAGCACAACTCATGCAGCCTATACCAAATCAGCTTTATACTCATTCTTCTCATGTCATTCCAAAGCATTGTCAGAGCATTGAGAAGAAAGATGCATCCCAAATGCCATAGCTCTCCCACCCTGATTTACAGGACAGAAGAAACATTTGACGGAAAGAAACATTTGACGGGAATAAACAGAAGTAACACGATCAGGAAAAATACACTAGTATTTAATATTAAAGTTTAGAACTCAGATATGCACTTAAAACACTTCCATCAGCCCATCTGTCTTGCAGCTCTTTTTTTTAGCCCTGATTCAGCAGTGCGCTAAACCATATTAATTTTAGCACCTTGCTGCATCAGACCCTCAGTTAAAATAACAATGAAGTGACCAAAACGGCCATTTCAAGTAGGTGCATAAGCAAAAAGTCCAGTACGTGAAGAAAGTTTGAGACGTACTAAGTACCAAGAACATACTGAAAAAATGCTAACCTCTTTATTGACTTCGGCCATTGACAGTTGTAGCACCATCAGCATGCAGTCTGCTCCACATACAGTAGTCCTTTCGGAGTTTGAAAATAAAGGCCATTGTCTTCTGAAACACTTGATCAAGTTTAAAATTTTTTGCTGGAAAGCAGTCATTGTCTATAGTGGAATATAGAAATAATTAAGAGAAAAAAAATTACTATAACTATGCCAGAGGCTTATGCGCATCTTCACCTTCCAATAAGCTGTGCAAATCTTGTCCTATCTTCTTGCAGGTCAAGCTCCTAGAACAAACTTTTCCCACTAAACTAGGAGTCTAGTGATACTTCCCTCGCTGTGACAGAGTAACTAGGAAGAGAAGGGATTAAAAGTGCTTATGTATGACACGTCTTAATGAAGATCACTTATTTTCCTTATAATTACACCAACATAACAGAATAAACATTATCACAAATACGACAGCCTTTTGTCTCTGAAAGCAGCCAGTCTGAATGCCCCAGCTTGTCTTCTCTACCATCCGCATTCACTAGACATTCAGACCAGTGTCTATCAGACTGTCTTAAACTTAGAAACAAGACATTTAATATTTCTAAGACTTACTAACAAAGACATCTCTAGATGCTTTTGTTACCCATATAGGTTTGGGTTTGTTTTTTTTTCATTCTATAAGTTATTAGATCCCCTATTTCTTTTGTCAATACGTTTCAGTATCAGTTTTGAATTTGACTATTTCATGCTTTGGTCTTTTTCACCTTCTTGCATTTGTTAAGACACAGGTACACCAGACTAAAAAGTTTGTCCTCTTTCAACTTGTTCTTTCCTGAAACACAGTTCCCTAACACTGCAATTACAGTACAGGAGCAACACTGATACCATTTACTTTCAGAACAAGAACCCAGCCTTTCCCCTTATTTCACCTAGCTCAGGCACAGCCCACAGCAGGTTTTTTTAGTGGTTGGTACCATCAGGAAAAATCATGACGTGTGGGAGAGGGGCAGGGAAAGCAGGAAACATCAGGTAACAAGCAAGACTGTATGAGTAACTGCAGCTACTTACTCTCCGAAACGTTTGAGGGGGACAGCCTCCTTTGTTATTTTACGTTGACATGAACGAAACCTGCAGGTCATAGGGGATGAAACAGGGGGGCAGATGCGAGTCAGTGTGGGGCCGACAAAAATCCCCCCGGAGGCGTTCCTCTCCCCTTACTCTGAGGGCTTTCCAAGGGGCAAAACCTGTCACTCGGAGCGGAACAAGCCAAAAAGCCTGCGGAACGAGCCCCAAACCCTAAACCC